CAGTCCATGAAATCTTACTCACATTAAATTGTTTGCATCAATGACTTTACATTTTGGCTTCGCATTTGTTCATATTGGACAGGCCTGATCCATTTTATCAATTGTAAAAAAATAGAGCTTATTATTTTTTGTTTAAATAATATGTGAAATTTCTTCATTTTAATTTATTTGATTTGAATCCAATTTGTAGGTACGTCTAGTACAATAATTAATTCAGCGAGTAGAAAATTCGTGTCTGTATAGATTCGATATAAGAATGTTTTTGTAGACGACGGCCTATAAATTAATCATAACACATGTACGTCAGCCCGCCTTATGTACATGTGAGAAATGCTATTGAAAATGAGCTTAGCCATTACTAGTCACAATAATACAACGTAAAAGATTGAACAATACTCTTCGTCATACCTCATATCCTAATAGATGCATAATCAAATATTGTAGTGGAGATTGTGTAATTTATGTCACATATATATATACACATATATGTGAAATGATGTATACCGTCATATTATATAATCTTATATACATATTTACAATAGAATAATGCTAATAATATGAATAACGAAAATCCCTTGTTGCAGTTTACATGATATAAGAGATTGAATGATTATAGAAACGTCAAGTGAAAAAAATCACACAATAAGAAAAAGAACATTTAACGAAACACTTAACATTTAATATATACAATATATGCACAATATATATTATATATAATATATACTTTGTATCATATATATAAATATCATATAAATACAATATGTTTGATTTAAATGTATACACCCAGTTATTTTTTTTATAAATCTAGAGTTAAAGGAGATAAGAAAATTTTTTGAAAATTATTTTGTTTAAGAAGATCTGTACAATGACTTAAACAAAAGTTCTGAATAGTTTTTTTAGTAAAAACTTTTACTGGAAATATTTTGTTTCTTATAATTAAAAGCGACATAAGTAACAATATCTCATGAACGACTATTGAAAATCACATTTTATCATTACATTATTGAATTTACATCATAAAATATCTTACAAAATATGTTATTCTATGTAAGAAGATAAAACTGCCATTGAAAGCATTTCTTTAAAATGATTTAAAACTTCTATTTAAAGTCATATAAATCTTCTTAAACAAAATATCTTTTATTTGAAAGAATTGTTTATAACTCTATTATTAAAAAAATAACTAACAATAAGTTTATATACTTAATCAAACACATTGTATAATTATATACGATATTTACTATTATAGCATTATATTATATCACATATATAGAGTAATATATGATTATAATATTTTAATTATAATTAATCATATGATATACTAAAAAAAACTGAAGTATTAAGAAAGAAATAATATCGCATATAATCTGTATTGCGATAATATGCGTTTAAGATTGCAGTCAGATAATATTTTTAGCATGTCAGGACCAAATAACCTCCCTTCCTCTTTTTAACTCTCGCCCTCAATTCTTATTCTCATAGCATGCATAGAATGAAAATATCGTTTAATCATGTGCATAACGACATTTTTATCCTAGGCAGGTGTGACTAATGTGAAATAACGAGGAAAAACAGCACGAGAAAATTTAAAAAATACGAAAGTTGAAAGACTTAAAGTTACAGAGGTGCTAAGAGATAATAAGAATACGGAGGTTCGATTGTATTCGACTACATTTTATACATATAAGTATAAACCGCGATGTTTACTTTTGTAAACACTGTTTTTATGTTCAGTTTTGTAAATACTCCCTAGCTAGTTTTGAAAATATTTCTTATGGCTCGTGGATATGCGTGCAAAACAGTCGCATAGTCTGAGTGCCATTTTTGCATAGACGATAGCGACCTAATAATTTATAAGCGACTTTGTTAAACATATATGAAGGATATTTCCAGAATGTTTTTTATTATATTGAAAAATTATTTTTTAACGTAAGTCATATCGATAACAAATTCAATTTTTTTTTTCATGACTGAAGAACCCATGCAATATGTGAAAGTGATAGAACTGTATAATTATACACTTTTGCGACGACGACAACAAGAAATCGGTTGTATAATTAAAGATAATTAAATTAAATAATTAGTAATCTCTAATGTGATATATACATCACAAAGATAACTTTGTCTAACAAATTTACAAGTTTAGATCGGAGAGTTGTTCTTTCATAAGAACTCTGATGGAATGTCTGAGTACTGTTATTAATTTTGATAGTTAGAATTATAATATAAATGACAAATTTATTTTTCAACATTTATTTTTAATAATTGAGGGAACGGATAAATATAAAAAAAGTTAGATTTCGTCTCCCTTTGTTTTTAATTTTTAATTAGTAGATAATCTTATGATCGAATAATAAAAAATTTAAATAAATAATAATAAGAAAATAGTTGCCCTGAAATTAAAGAATTATTCTTTGCAGAATTATTCTCTGAATCAATTTAAAACTTCTTAGATATTTATTGAATATTAATTTTTGAACAATTTTTTATGCATTTTAAAAAAATTTTTCATTATCTCTTGCATGAACAAAAATTAACAGTTGTAAAATTTAAATTAATTTTTATTATTTATTATCTTTTTTGTGTTACAGAAACGCATTACGAATATGTATCAGTTTCTACTTATTCTTTTTAAAATGAAGTATTCGATAATTCTATATTGTTACAAAAAAATCATAAATAGAAAGTCATGGAAATGATATTTTTGAATATCTTTCTATACAAGGATTAGTTATAGTTAGAAAATTAGTTACTGAAAAGAAAATTAGTTACAAAATATCTTCTAAGTACTGACAATCCTCATTCGTTAAACCAACTATAATATAAAATCTCAATATAAATTCTGTCAATATTTTATTATATAAAAATATAATAAAATGTCTTAATCGAATTGAAATGCAAACATATCACTTCCTTACTTTAAAAATGATAACTAAACAAATAAAATTTCCCAAAAAAAAAATATTTTTCAAATTATTTTTAATTGAAAATTATTGATTAAAAATCAAATTATATTGGAAAAAATGTATTCTTAATATGATCAAATGTCATTTTTATTATTTTTATTTTATAATGTTTAAAAACTATTTTTTTAGCTATTACTTTTTTTTAAACTACTATTTTTGTAATTGTAACAATTTTGAAGATTTTTTTAATAAAGTTTAGTTCATTTTTGATAAATGAGTAATGTTTATTTAACTAATTCATGATAAAAACTTGAAAATCACATTTTTTTAAATAAAGAAACGATATGCTCTGAAGTTATAGCTTTAAAATATGTAAGTTATTTGAATCATTTTTATTTTTATAAAACGAAAACGTCTTGACTAGTTATCAATTGCTGCACATATGATTTCTAGTAGAATTTTAGTTGCTTCTTGAATTTGCATCTTACAATTAAAAAATTCTAAATTTGTCTTCTTTTATAATTCTTTTCTATATTTCATCGTTTGTGATGTACGACATTTAAATTAGAACTGCCGGAAGAGAGAACAATCTTCATAATAAATACATCTCACTCGTAACTCTTCTATTATCCTTATCAATTGATTATTTAGAAATTTATTGACAGAATTTATAATTGTGTAATGGTATCCTTCTGTATGGAAACCTATAAATCTTTTAGAAAATTCCTCGCAAGAAAGTGGCACATCATCGCGGGACCATTTTAATAAAAATAAGTAAACCATCTATTATTTTTTGCTTTTGTTCACACTTGAATAATGATCTCGTACGTCTTCCAATTATCTTACGTGGAATTGTATCTGTATCGTGTTCCTGCGATTATACACATGTCTTCACAGAAAAATTGTATTCGAAATAAAGAAAGATCTTATGACACATGTGTGAATATTTATATTTTATCATCTTTCAATAATATATATATTGTTTATTTTATTTTCTTTGGAACATTATATGTATATTAGATCTGTTTTTATTCTTGCATTACAGACCTCTCTTTCTCGCTTTTGCTAAATATCAAACATGTATCTATCTCACTTTAAGTTTCAAAAGTATATACTATTTCAGCCACAGAAAACATCAGACTTATTATTATATATTTTGAATATATATATATATATATAAAAAAGAAACTACCTTTTATTTTATGCATTCATATTAACATTTGTAAACTGGCTTGTACATCTTTTAAACACATTAACGATAAGGAGAAGTTCCGTACAAAAAGCCTTTTAAAGAATTTCAAAATTCTGAAATTTTCGTTTTTAAATCACATATATAATTTTATCTCAAACGTTGAATTACTTCAAGATGAGCAAACGGTTGGCATGCGGCCTTGGTTTTGATAATTGTTATTGTGATGCACTGCGCGTTCTGTTGCGTTTACGAAATTGTTACTTAAATCACACATAATTTAAGCGAGTTGTTCAAGCAAACAAATTATATTGCATGCTTCGTGTATCGGGATGTTATTGCGTATGGCAAATAGTAATAGCTACTTCACAATTTCACAAAGTACTTTTTCATATGCACTTTTTTACTAAATACGAACGAGATAGATTAATTCGTATCAGTTTAGCCGACAATTAATAATTTCTTAAATATTAATCTTAAATAATACTTTTTATAAAACTATTCGTATTTCATATGAAGACTTTTGAAGTATAATTAAATAGATTTGTCATTCAGATTATATCAATCTATAATGATTAATTACGTACGTAGACCAAAAAGAATTAAATATTATGTAGATGATAAAATATTCTAATTAATTAATTATTTTTACGTAATTAACCGACATAAATTAATTAAATAAAATTTTTGTATAAAATTAATTATATTTTGCATATAAAAAAATTTTTTAATGTAATTAGAAATATTTTAGTTTTTTTTAAATAAATTAAATTAAATACTTTTTAACTGTTATTGTGTAATTAACTGATATATCGACTAAGTTCGAATATGGCTACGTAGTTCAATGTACAGACACACAATGTTCAGACACGTGTTTTGTGTATATGGTGGCGTTAGTGGACGAATTTCATATGGATAAAATACAAACAATACAAATCTCAAGTTTTTCTGTATCAATGATTTAACCTTGATTGACATATATCCTGTGATGTAAGACATATATTCTGTAATATAAGATATATTATTATACATAATAGTGATAGAATAACAAAACAACTCAAACGAACAATTAATTAAATTTTTATCACTGGAGCAAATTTTTTTATTGACTCACCATGTTGGATACGCGACTACGCATACTCTAGAATGCTTCTTATATTATTCTTATATTTTTACATTGATATGTTCCATAATAATATATATTATATATAATAGATTGTGTTGATAATATGTCATAAATATATTTATCATATAGATTTTAATATGTCACAAAATTCAAATAAAAAAATGACAAATATTAAGATTTATTTTCTTTCCATAATTTATAATAAAATACACTTTAATTTGATAATTTATATATAAAATCTTATCGATTATTGAATGATGAAACTTTGTTTTAAATCATGCCATTAATACAAAAATTACTTGGAATAATTGAAATTATTTTGATATATTTGATATATTCTATAAGTTAGATCATTTTTAATGAAAGAATTTGTTAGGTGAAAGAATTTTATTAAAAATACTATATATACTTTTGCATTAGAGAGAGATTGTGACTCCCAGCAAACGAGAATGGATTGAAATAAATTGAAATGGATTCACATTTTCAGAAATATTGGTTCACGAATGTTAAAATGAATGCTTTTCAATCCTGAATACATTTTTATTCATTTATAGGAATTGCATGGAGCATATCTCTATGCCTTTCAATCTAAAAATAATATTAGCTTTTTCTGTGCACAACACACACATTGTGAATACTGTTCAATTCAAAATTTTAAATAGGAAATGCATTTTTCAATCCAATTGCATCCAATTGAATCTAATTGAATCCAATTGAATCCAATTAAATCCAAAAAAAGTATTCGCTATTTATATATAAAATACGCATTCGGATAGAAAAAAATTTCAATTCATTTTAATCCATTCTCATTTGCTGGACATATATTTATATTTTTTAAATTCAAAATTAATCGCGCATTGTATGCTGTGAATCAAAAGCGTGAGATTATATATATTTTAATGTTTGTTGACTTACTGAAGATGACTCAAAAAATTGAAAAAATCAGAAAAAGTCTAATTTTATATATTAAAATAAACTTTATTTATTAATATATATATTTATTAATATATTGCATAATAAAACCGTGTTAGATTCTCGTCAGCCTTTAATTCTTTCTAATTATTACTTTTGTTTAATTTCTTAGATATATTCTAAATATCTAATAATAATTAAGTAATAAAAAAACATTACAACCAAATCTATCAGACAGAATTGAAGTGCAAAAGTCTATTTGCAAAATGTCTATACAATTTTTTAGAAGGACTACAATATGTAATATCAATATAGAATATCAGTAGAAATATAACAGGATCTGTTTTCAAAATATGATAGCAGATCGATTAAATTTATAATTGATCGAACAAAATTTATTGATGATCAAACAAAAATTTGCTATTTCCTAAAGTAATATATTTAATTTAAATAATTATGAAGTGATAGATGTTGGCAAGACATGAAAATGCTGAGCAAAATATTGCAGTATTTAATAGTAATGATGATTAATAAAGTTAATGACAATCCGCTGCAATATTTTGCTCGAATTTTCTGATAATTAATTATTAGCAACTATAACGTTTTGCTTATGCTATCATAGATTTCTTGGCTGTCATTCATCTTACATGATAACTGTCAGCAGATAATGGTATCGAATGATTAGATAATTGGATGTGTTTACCACAGAGTAGTGATACTATCAAAACCAGGAACTATTTTTTTTCTAAAATAGACTATCATACCATGTGTACTTTCCGGTGATAGCTATGCAACAGGAAGAATCATTATATGTTACAGTTTATTATCAGAAAACTGAGATGTAACCATGAAATGCAGCAACAGCATATCAGAAACCACTGAGATGGCAAGCAACGATGAAGCAAGAGAATTACTGCCTTTTAATACATTGGCAGAATTGTATGATAGTCTGGACAGTAGATTAATAGAACTACCATTGGTATATATAACAGAATCAGTGGATTATGTATACCGAGGTTCAGATATTGTTGCACAGAAAGTTCCGCTAGAAAGAGTGGATAGAGCTGAACAACCCAGAACGTTAGTCTGTCACGATATGAAAGGTGGTTATCTCGAAGACAGGTAATTTTACAAAATATCTCAATTTAAGTAAATGCATACGTGAATTATAATCATATTTGTATTTGTTTTATATTTACAGATTCCTACAAGGTTCCACCTCTTATGATTCTTATGTATTTTACCACTGGAGTATTGTCGATACGTTTGTGTATTTTAGTCACCACTTTGTAACTATCCCACCTTATGGATGGATCACTGCGGCTCATCACCACGGTGTAAAAGTTTTGGGTACTGTGATTACGGAAGGAAATAATGATACCTGGGATACAATTCTTGCGTCGGAAGAAGATGCAAGAAAATTTGCAGACGCTCTAGTAATGATTGCAAAAAGTTATCAATTTGAAGGCTGGCTTTTGAATATTGAAAATAAGATTAAGCAAGAAGATATTAATAATTTAATTTATTTCATTAAATACCTAACAGAAACTATTCACAATGAGATTGAAGATTCGGAAATTATCTGGTATGATAGTGTGACCAATAAGGGTGAATTAAATTGGCAAAATGAACTCAATAATAATAACAAGTAATATACTTTAAATCAATATTTTAGTTCTATTTCGATACAATTTTCGATACAATTTAATAATTGTTATTTCTGTTTTAGAGAATTTTTCCTGCATTGCGATGGTATATTCTTAAATTATACTTGGACAGAATCGCGATTGGGCAACAGTTGTTTACTTGCAAAGGAATTAGGTCGCGATATTAAGGATATTTATGTTGGATTAGATGTTTGGGGAAGAGGATGTCCAGGCGGAGGTGGCTTTAATTCAGCATATGTAAATAGATTTACTTTTATTACATATTAAAAATCTACCATTACTTTATATCTTTTGCGGTAAATATAAATACTCAGATAATAAGAAAATATTTTTATTTTTAAAGGCATTAAATTTAATACGGGAAAAAGGACTTTCAGTTGCTATATTCGCTCCTGGATGGACACACGAGTACTTTGGTCCAAGTACTTTTCTAATTCTAGAAGATTTATTCTGGGCTCAGTTATTCCCTTATTTATATGTGCATGTACCTATTTTTGAGAATGACACATTTAAAACTTCCTTCTGTCGAGGTGCTGGTATCTGCTATTATTATAATGGCGAGGTAAATTTGAATAATAAATCAGATTTTTTATTTAATTAATTAAAAGTGTTAAACTTTTGTGTTAAAATGTTTATGGTATCTAAAACTAATTTATATCTGCATGCACGTTTGTTTAGGAACATTTTAAACCGTACACGGTAAATGGCGAAATCACGCCCGAGAAAAAAGCATTTTACAATTTACGTATGCAGCAACTACAATTGGCAATTCCTGTGCCACATTTGCAATTTACGCGATTGACACAACGAATCCTTACTGGAAATGTTGAAGATGAAAATAATGAAAACAACGAAACTTGTGAGAAGAAAGAAAATCGAATAGAACGTATCTATGAAAATAGAAAGAACATTATACGAGTTTGTGGTAACTCAGTCAAGTTTGAAGATAAATTATCTGCTGTTGATATTAATACTTTTGAGTTTTGCGATCAATTCTCCTACAATGGTGGTGGATGCTTGAAGCTGATTACTAGAGATCATAGATTATATCACAGGTAAGAATATATCTATTGAAGAATAATAATTTATGAAAAAATATGTTGTTAATGTCAAAACATAATAATCGCCAATATTGTCAATAATTATCAACAAATAACATTATATTGTTATAGATTATTCTTAGTTCACATCGATTTGAAGCAAGACATCCAGGCGACTATCATTTATACAGAACCCGAGATTATTACTTCATTGAACGAGTCTAACAAAAATCCTATTTTAATCCTGGGTAATAACGATAATTTAAAATCGATCTTGCCCTATGATTCGATTAGAATGAACGCCAAATGGAGAAAATGGTAAGCGAATCACTGATCATAAATTAGCTTTGACGATAATTATTTTTTACAATTAATTGTTCTTTTTATAGCATCTATCTAACGAACTTGAAGACTGTGCATGAGATTGGTGTATCCTTCCTAACAGAATACGATTGTTACATAGGCGAAATCGTTTTGGAGCAAAGGAATCGTCATTTTGGTAAGTACGAAAGTTTTGTGACCGACTTTGCAGTTACATTAAGATTCTGTGTAAGAAGTAGACAGTTGCGCATTACAAACTGATTACGTCATGATAAAAGCATATCACACAGTCCTTGATTGCGCGTAGAACGACCGCTCCTAGCGATTACACCTTATACGCCTTTCCTTCTGCTCCTTCTTCTTCTCGTTTCTCTTGAATTAAGAGCTGCTTGGGTGAAAGGCACGTACAAACTGTTCCACGATAGACCAATCGTTCGATTTTATAGACGCCCAACCATTCTACATTCCATCGAGGGATCAGGTGCGAAGTTATATTGCGGCGAAAAGATTCCTCGACAATGTCATTAAGCAAAAAACAAAATTACTCGTTTAGCAAGCTCGATTAGCATTTATCGGTATTTCAATAACGAAGACACCTTCAAGTCTTTGACAGCTCATATACGTATCCCAATGAGACTTCTATTACAAGGATATCTGCATTCTTTGATAGCAAAGTGCATTCCGTAGTGGCACGACGGATGCAAATTCCGTTACAGCAATTTAAAGACGCGACCGATTTATTACACCGGATATTACAAATCGTTTGCACGCTCACACGTTAAAATGAAAGGTATTTGTGCCCAAAGGTGGACATGCAACCACGTGTATTTGTTATTCACACTCTGATATATGTATTGTAATCAATATGCCACCTATTGCCGAGAAGATGAGACATACATACATTAATTGCATTGAAACTCCTCGCTGTTGTGCCATTAAGTCACCGACGCTTTCTAACTTTGCTCAATCAACAACGTGCATGCACACAATGCTCTTACTTAATTTTTTTAATCTATCGCAAAATTTTGAATCGATTTTCTCTAGCTTTAAAAATTTATGAAGCTATTATAAATATTATTCTTATAAATATATATTATATATACATAATGCATATTATAGATTTTGCGTTTTTAATTTGCGTTAATAAAGAATTTTCTATCACGCGATTTACTATTTTCATACATATTCGTCCTCTCCGAATTAAATATTACATGCATAACATGTATATTATATTTATATTTTTAAAATACATTGATTAATATACACTACTCAACAAAAACTGGGGAACCTTTTGCTCAAAATTACACAATTTTCAAATCATCGAAACTCAGTAAAAACAGCTCCGTATCTTAACAAAGATTACAATATCATGTTCCTTAAAATTATATATTCAATAGTTTGGAGCTTGATAAATTTTTTATTGTTTTCTCTACAATAAATTTTCATCGAGTTTCAATGAGAGTTTCAAGATTATTTGAAAATTGTGCAACTTAGAACATTTTGAAAGTGTTCCTCATTTTTTAATGAGTAGTATTTTAATACACCCACACATACGCGCGCGCGCGCACACACACACACTTATTCTCTCTCTCTCTCTCTCTCTCTCTCTAATGCCCAATTTCTTCACCTTTAGATAACATCATCCAAGAGATATCTTCCAGAGTACAATGAAGATATCTCCTGGATAAGATTATCTGCTTATCTGAAAGTGATGAAATTGGGCATAATGTATGCTTTTAAAAAGTATACATTTTTATATTTTAAAATATGTATGTGTTTATACTTTAATTGTTTCTGGTATACTGAATACTTTTCGCTTTTTTTCAAGCACGCATGCACGTTGATGTATACAATAGAAAGGGAGAAAAGTGTTTACTTATGCGAAAGACTGCCACAAAACACTACATCGAAGGGATCCCGATTTGCTTACAAATTTGCCTATAGTATCGTTTGCCTACATCACTTTTGCCGACAGTTCATTTGCGCACAAAAATTATTGCCTGCAGCTCGATTGTCTACATGCACTTTTGCGCAGAAATAAAAATTTGAGAAATGGAGTTACATTTGCTTACATGCATTATTGCCTACATGCATTTTTGCAAACAAATATTAATTTCAGAAACGAAGTCAATGCATCTGCCTATATGTACTATTGCCTACATATATTGCCTACAGCTCGATCATCTATTATGGCCCAATATTAGAAAAACGATGTATAGCCAATATTGAGCAAAAATTGGGTCCTCATTATTGGTCTAATATTGTTGAATCAATATTGATTTGTTGAACCAATCGAGCTGTAGGCAATACATGTAGGCAATAGTGCATGTGAAAAACACATGTAGAAAACAGAATCACAAATGTGACTTCGTTTCTGAAATTTTTATTTTTGTGCAAAAATGCAGGCAATAATTTTTATACGTAAACGAACTGTCGGCAAAAGTGATAGGCATACGATACTGTAGGCAATCGATTTGTAGGCAAAAGAGCCATCTCTATCGAGTCTATCTGAAATACAAAGGTTTAATTTATTTGGTTTCCTTCATGATTTGATTTAAAATTATATTTTTCATTATCATTTTTATTTTTAAATATGCTTAGGCAAAAAAATATAGGCAGAAAGCGATCTTGAGAAGAGAAATGTATGTACTTGACATATTTTTTCTCTTATAGTTTTTCATATTCAGCAATTTCTCTGATTATAACAATTTATACTGTATAAGACCAATTGCAGACTACTGTATTATTAATATTTTTTACTAATTTTATTTTCTAAACTTTTCATTAATCGTTGAATCATTCGTAAGCGTGACATAATTTTCTTTTATATAATAAAAAAATAACACAAATATAAATTAAATTCTTAGGCCGGAATCAGACTACGCATTAAAGATTGAAATTGAAGGATGAAAGATTAAAATTTATGATCAATCAAAGCAAAAGGAGTTAAAATTTCTTTCTCTTCATTGATCGAATTTCAATCTTCAATCTTTAATCTCAATCTTCAATGAGTAATCTAATTCTGTCCTAAGAATTTAATTTATATTTGTGTTATTTTTTTTATTAATAATATAAAGGAAAATTATGTCATACCGTACGAATGATTCAACGATTAATAAAAAATTTAGAAAATAAAATTAATAAAAAATATTTTTTAACAAATAATTAAAGATCAATATATCAATCGATAGCGTTACTCTTTTAATGATTTGCTAAAGGAAGTAGGAAGAGAGATTCGTATGAAGCAACGTCCGTTATTTTCTTCCGGCGTTAGATCTATTTCTGCGAACCGAGAGTTTCTTCCTGGATCAATAATTTATAAATGAATTATTTACTAGAGGTGAAGTGACCGTAACGTTTCCACTGATTATTCGATGTGTATCGACCGTTGTTCTACAAAAAAAGTATTATTCATGGTATATTGCGTTGCAAGCGCATTATTTCTACCGGTACCGACTTTAATCGCTAATACTTCTTTCTGGGGGTCCGCTTAATGATGCATTTTTAAACGCTTCAGGTAATTTAGCGAATTATTACGTAAAGAAAATTCACGTTTTTTAATTTATTATTCAATTACACAGATAAATTCGTTGGAGAAAAAAGTATTCTTTTTTTTTATCTTTTATAATCCATATTTGATATTATTGTTAAAACTTACTGATCCGTTAGCATAGATAAGATCGCGATTTTCTCAAATGGCTGTATAGAGAAAAAGATCAGATTATTTCTTTCTTTAGGAATGCTTAGTTGCGAACAATCCTTTATCGCTATATTTAATGATTATTGCTATATCTTCTATTGCTTTTTGAGATCTTCCTTTACTTGAATGTTTTTTTAGATTTTTTTTTTACTGTAAACCATGAAATCAATTTACAAAAAAAAAATAAGAAACCGAAGGATGAACAAAATTATACTGGCTTTCGCATATTATCGAGAAAATTATATGCGGCAACATTTGTTTCTGGTAGACACTTACAATTTTTTGTACTTATTTTGTTATTATCCCGGAGGCGGAGAAAACTTTATCATGTCTTGTGTCTACTTTATATCTTATATATCTTAAATGTATGTTAATGCATATATTTATTTAAAAAGTATAAGAAAAATAATTTAAATCTTTTAGAAAAATACAAATATATAACGGAATAATTTAAATATTAGGTGTTGGAATTAATTCGTAGCGTTTTTTAATGAAAGAATGTTATTTATTTCACATGAGCATTAAAAAATACATTAATGAAAGTACTTCCCATCACTTGTAAAACGCTACGAATTAATTCCAACACCTAATAATTATATAATAAATACTATTATAATATTAATAATTATACTTAAAGTTATTAAATTAGATATAGACATATAAAATAGCAGAGAAAGAATTAAAAATCATAGAAGAAAAGTAACATACGTAGATTAGCTTTCATTTATTTAAAGATTGCTGATAATTTTACAAGTGGCTATGAATAATTTTGCATTTGGAAAATTGAGAAAAGCGGAGCCTATTTTAGAAAGGACGGTGATCACGCTGATAGAACAATCTTACGTGTAAAGCAAGTGGGCTTCTAGAATATGTACTGGATGACTTTGTAATATACGACCGCAGCTTGTCGTGACAAAATTGAATTGTCGATCAGTGTAAGTTGAATGTCGAAAACTTTCTCCTGTGGCATGTACCATATGCGCATATTGTACTATGTAAAATGTGCAAGTAGGCAAGGTGCGCATGAGAAATTGATTTTATAGTATTTGTCGTACTTTCTATAAGATTATACAGAGTGTTCCTTATTAAATACACTAGAATAAAAATTATCTAAGCGGCGTTCATCGGATTTTTGCATTGTTGCGTTATAACCGCGTTTCTATCTAATTAAGATAAATCGTTCAAGGGTGAGAAAGAAATTTCTTCCTAGGAATATTATTGGTCGGATAATTGACAATTGCTAGTAATCTGTTTTGACAACTGTGAGAAAAATTCTTTTGATTAATATAGTAATCTTTTTCTTTCCTAATTCCCATGTAATTACGTATACGCGATTATACTGACGTAGGGAATTGTTGTTTGAGAAAGAAGCTGATTAAGTCTTAAGCATATTCACTGTTACTTTCTGTAATATATGACTACCGTGAAAATGACTCTTGTTGAATTGATAGTAAAAGCAAGCATAATTTACGTATCAATATTACTGAAATGAGTCATGGTAATCCAACAGACAGATAATTTGATCCAAATGATTTTGACCCTAATTTTATTCAATTTTTATTCACGATTAAATAATTCTTAAATATTATTGTAATTTTTTAATTTTTAAATATTTTTTATTTATTTTCAGATCAGATTATTCTTTTTTGTAATTCAATATTAGATAATAAATTTATAATTCCATTATCGATGTTTCAAATTATCTGCATTAATACTTTTTGCGCAAAATGATGCATAAATCATATACTATAAAAAAGTTATCGAATGTTTAATATAAAAAAAAAATAATTGATTGTTTACAGTAAAAAAGTATCTGAAGAAAAGAATAATTATTTCTTACAATTTTTATAATGCTCAATCATACAGATTTGATTTTAAAAAAGTTGCAATATTTATGCTTTAATTTTGAAAATTTTCATTTGACTAAAGAATTATTACTCTTTTTTTTTAATTAAATAAAAAAGAAATTATTTTCTAAACTATGTTAATATGCTATTCGTGCGATTAGTCCTAAAAGAAATGACGATGGCGGCGCGGAACTTTCGCTACATTGATTGCGATTGCAATTTTACGTATGCGTCTAGAAGAGCCTTCTCGGACAAATGGATCGTTCCGAAGACAATTTGTGGAGAGAGAGACTCAGACAGCGGCAACGGCAATTCCAGGGCTCGGCTTCTTTTCTTTCACGTTTCTCCGATGGATGCCGTTTTAGAAAGGCGGCGGAGAAACCTCTAGAAGCGCGTACCGAGAATTCATCTCAGTGGCGTACTGTTTTATCGAGTTTACACGCTTATTTTAACACATCGAATGCCAGCG